TGGTTTTATTAATGCAGTTGCAGTTTATATAATTATCGGTAAGTTTGTTGCGCGAAATTTGTTGGTTGTGTGAATTAAATTTTTGATCGAATAGTTGGCATGCAGCTATAACTAATTTTTATTGTGTTTCTGTTGAATATTTTGTGGAGCTTATGATGTAATGGAAAATGCAAGTCAATTAATTTCAAGAAAATATGTCCAATTTTTGTTATCACATTTTTACTGTAAGGAGGGTTAAACCATATAATTCTTCTTTTATCGTTTATTAGTAATAGAGGAATTTAGATTTGAATGATATTGGAGAATGGTGTGAAATCCAGTCGTTAAAAATAGAGAAAATTAACTTCAATTATTCAATAAAAATGTATACCTATACCATCAAATAGAGAATACAAATTGCGATTGCATGAAAAAACCGAGATACTGGTTAAAAGAATGAGATGGAAGGCATTTTTCTTCATAAATAACGAGTCTAACGGTATGAATAATATTAATAATAATAGTAATAATAATACCAGTTTTAGTTCTTATGGTATTAACACACCGCAATGTCCACAACAGATTAATGATATGCGTGCATTTGAATGCGATTTATTCAAATTAATTAAAAATATACAGTTTAGGATTGTTCAATGTAGCTTCCAAAACAAATTAAAAAAAGACATTTCTACTATTAGAAAATCAACGTATATTTACACTCACGCTGACAAAACATCTAACTTATATAAATTATCAAAAGACGAATACAATATGTTATTAATGAACGCCACTACATCTAATTATAAAAAAACCAACCCTATAATAAAAAATCGCATTAATAAAGAAGGAAAAACTATTCTTAAAAATCATGAAGTTTTTAACAAAATCAATATAAACAGTTCTTCCAATGGTTTTATTACATTAAAAGACCATAAACCTAATTTTTTAAATTATCCTACTGTTCGTCTAATTAACCTAGCTAAGAATGAGGTTGGTAGAATAAGTAAGCATTTTTTATCAGGTATTAACACCAACCTTAGAAATATTATGCAATTAAATCAGTGGAATAGTACACAAAATGTAAAAAATTGGTTCAAAAACATCAATGACAAACATTTTTATAAATTCTATTAATGAAAAGCTACTTATCGATTCCATAAAATTTGCAGAACAATACGTTTCCATTGGTGCTGATCATAAATCTTTAATTATCCACGCGCGTAAATGTTTATTATTTACCAATGACCAAGTTTGGATTAAAAAATCAAGTGGTTAGTTTGATGTTACCATGGGTGCATTTGATGGAGCGGAGGTGTGCGAATTAGTTGGTATTTTTTTTCTTTTCCATATTTCGCAATTTTATATTAAAACTGATTTTGGATTATATAGAGACGATGGCTTAGCCGTATTTAAAAACGCAAGCGTTTTCCAAAAATGGAAAAAATTAAGAAGCATTTTACTCAAATATTTAAACAAAACAACCTCAGTATTTCCATTCAATCTAATATGAAAATTGTTAATCACCTTGATGTTACATTTAATCTTAATAACAACACTTTTCAACCTTACCATAAACCTGATAGTACGTTAAATTATATCCATTCTAATTCCAACCATCCACCAAACATTTTAAAACAACTACCAATCTCAATTGGACATAGGTTATCTTCCAATTCTTCAAGCAAAAAAATATTCCAAAAGACTGCTCCAATTTATAATGACGCATTAGAAAAATTTGGATTTCACACCATTCTCCAATATCATTTAAATCTAAATTCTTCTATTACTAATAAACGAAAAAGAAATATTATATGGTTTAACCCTCCTTACAGTAAAAACGTGATAACAAAAATTGGACATATTTTCTTAAACTTAATTGACTTACATTTTCCATTACATCATAAGCTCCACAAAATATTCAACAGAAACACAATAAAAATTAGTTACAGCTGCATGCCAAATATTCGATCAAAAATTTAATTCACACAACCAACAAATTTTGCGCAACAAACTTACCGATAATTATATAAACTGCAACTGCATTAATAAAACCACATGCCCGTTAAATAATCAATGTCTATCAAAAAATGTTGTTTATAGAGCCACTTTAGAATCACCTAATACCAATTTTACCGAAAAATCCTACATCTGAATTAGTGAAAACACATTCAAGCTCATATTTGCAAACCATCTTAAATCATTTAATGCAACCAGGTATAGGAATGATACGGAACTTTCCAAGGAAATCTGGAAACTTAAAGACGCGGGTAACATGCCTATAATTAAGTGGAACATAATTAAAAGATGCCAATCTTTTAACCCATCTACAAAAAAGTGTAACCTTTGCATCAATGAAAAGTATTTTATTATGACTTTTGATAGTCGACTACTACTTAACAAAAAAAGTGAATTGGTTTCTGCTTGTAGGCATAGAAAAAAATTTTACTATCTAACTTTGATTCCGGCGATTAGCAAATATCATATCACGTACAATTGACGTCAGATGCCGTTGCAACGCTAAATTTGTGTTTTTTATAACGGTTTTTATTTTTTACTTGAATAATATGGCTGATGATTGCCGATTAGCATGAAACTTTTAGTTCCATCATAAAGTTGGATTTTTTTCATTTAAGTTATTTTATTATATACATATATATATATATATATATATATATATATATATATATATATATATATATATATATATATATATATATATATATATATATATATATATATATATATATATATATATATATATATATATATATATATATATATATAATATATATATATATATATATATATATATATATATATATATATATATATATATATATATATATATATATATATATATATATATATATACATATATATATATATATATATATATATATATATATATATATATATATATATATATATATATATATATATATATATATATATATATATATATATATATATATATATATATATATATATATATATATATATATATATATATATATATATATATATATATACCGCCCGAAATGACTGAAATTGCTGTTTTAACCTCCTAAAAAGAATTCTAGCCGGTCAAGGTTGACCGGTTGAAAAACCAGAGTTAGTCAGAAAAATCAGAAAAATCTTTTGTTAAACCCAATTTTAAAATTTTTAGATTTCATAACACCGTAAAACTTTGATAAAGCGTCTAAAACAAATTTTTTGCTGATATGCTGCTTTTTAAAGTAGAAATAATTAATAAATTAGCTTTTATTCACTTCGTTGTAAAGAAGCGAATTAAAATTCGCATCGCTGCAAAGTGAAATTCGTCATCGTTAATTAATACTCGCTAATGCTTTGACGAGTATTATATATGGCGTAAACTATATTAATTTTTTCGCTTCAGTTATTGAGATCAATCTTATTGAAAGTTTTTTACCTTAACTGATTTAAGTTCTTATTTTATTATTATTTTAATAATAATATAATATACAATAATTGATGATTTTAGCTAAGCACTAAATTTATTTTTGCTCTCTCGATATCTTTTTATTTATTTTTCTTATAATTTTTTGTTGCAAAATGCATTTAACAAATGACTTTTTTTTTTCTTCTTAATTTAAGTTTAATTTATTCATAGTCAATAAAATTTTAAATTATTAAGAAAGAGCAGCACAACAGGCCGCTCTGTGATGAAAATACAGTTTTTATATTTCAATTACGTTTATATTTTTGATGCCGGCGAAAAGAAAATTCGTATTTGAAATTTGTGAGGTTGTTTGAATTCCCGCATTTTAGGTCAAAGCATTCAACACGCTTTGAGTCTGTGTTGTCAAAGCGTTCAACACGCTTTGACAACATAGTTGGTGAGGAAGTTTTTTCTGAACAGTTTCGAAAAAACTGCGCTTTGAGTTGTTTTATGCGTCCTTGCGGTTAAAGACTTTTGTTTAAAGACTCTGTTTGATTAAAGCAGAGTGAATAAGATGTTAACTTTATTATTTAGATAAATTTAAAATTACCAAAAGCGTTTGCTTTTTTTTTTCATCTACTGAATTCTTAAACACATATATATATATATATATTATCAGTATAAATTTTCGTTTTAATTAACATGTAGTAGTATTATAGAAGTATTTCATAAAACGGTTATTAAATAATAAGTATTCAGTTTAAATGGTACTAACATTATCAACTAATTACCAGCAGCAGTTAATAAAATGATTTTTAATGAAACTTAAACGAATGAAAGTTATAAAATGATAAATAATACAAGCGATAAATATTATGAGCAATCGCTTTTCCAACGTTGGTAACGACTGAAGTTCTTATTTAACTATTATTTGAAGTTAATTTATGAGCTAAGAACATTTTCTATCTTTTTTTATTCAATCTTTTCATTTATTTTTATTGTGACCTTTCCCGCATTTTCCGAAGTCATTGCAATGAATGAGTTATTTTCAAATAGCAATTGCGCGTTTGCACATTTTTTTCTATTATTATATTGCGCGTTTGCATATTTTTTTTTATTATTATATAAGAAAATCATTAAACATCAACCTCTTAAAATGGAGGCGAATAAAAAGAGACAAACAACACTTTCATTTTTAACACAAGCAAGATCAGAATTAAAACAACCTGTTGAAAAGAAGAAAAAACTAAGTAGTAGAAATTTACAGCTAACAACAGCTCAAAAATGGATAAACACTACGCTTGCTAAATATAATGCAAATGAATGGCAAGAGATATCAAATAGTGGAAAATACGTTACAGCATTGAAATGTACTGTATGTCGTCAGTATGCTAGACAAATTGATATTTATAAAGGATATACGCCAGAGTGAGGAAGGGATGAAGGTAGTTGTAGGATACAACACTGTACTGCAATTGATCATGCAAATGGGTTGCGACATCAAAGAGCATATGAATTAGCAATGAAAAGTAAAGGAATGGATGTAAGCGAACAAAATGATAAATTTATCAACCTGCAGAAAGAAATGCGGCAAACTAACATTTTATCGGGCCTGAAAACCATGACCACAAAAGATTTAAATTTAACTCGAAAAAAATTTGAGGTAGCATACTTTATTTCTAAAGAAGAGCTACCACTCAGCGTATACCCAAAAATACTATGCTTGGAAGAAAATCATGGTGTAGAGCTTGATCAAGCGTAGAGAAATAAAGTAACTTGCGGAACTTTTATTGGCTATATTGGATTGAGTTTATCAAATGGTGTCAGGTCAGGAGTATAATCTTCATAATCATCCTGCTACTGTTAACATGTAACCCAGTGCAACCTGTCCCATGTTCTGCTGCCTTGCAGGATTTGCTTTCTAAGCAAAGGCTAGAAGGAGTGTTCTTCCTGTCATCAGTACTATCTTATATCAGTCATGCCTATAGTAATTTTTTTTTTTTTTTTTTCTCATATAGTTGGAGGTGCCTTAGTTACTGTATTAGCTCTCCTGTAATTTACGTTATATGTATGTTTGTGTTCTGTCTGAACCTCTGGCGCGGTGTTCACTCACCCGTAAGTTACTTTATGTTCTTTATGTATGTCTGTGTTCTGTCTGAACCTCTAGCGCGGTGTTCGCTCACCCGTAAGTTACTTTATATTTATGTTTATGTTTTTTATGTTTTTTTATGTATGTTTGTGTTCTGTCTGAACCTCTGGCGCGATGTTCGCTCACCCGTAAGTTACTTTATGTTTTTTATGTATGTTTGTGTTCTGTCTGAACCTCTGGCGCGGTGTTGACTCACCCGTAAGTTGATTTATGTTTATGTTTGTTTGTGTTCTGTTTATACTCTAATGCAGCGTGAGCTCAGTAATTAACTACTTACTCCAACTACAAAACCTACACTCACCTTAGACTCCTGTATTTTATTAGATGCAGTGTTTTTCCTTATGCACTTCCAAAATATCATGCCTGGTTTTCTCAAAGTACTGTTGCTGGAAGTAACTCCTTTTAACTACTCCAGGTCAGGTCAGGATAATCGAAATCAATCCTGCTACTGGTATCACGTAACCCAGTACCACCTGCCACAAGCCCTGCTGCCTTGCAGAGTGTGCTCTTCTTAGACAAAGGCTAGGAGAAATACCTTTATGGGTAAGCTGAAAAATTCTGCTAACCAGCCTCGAACCCCTTCTTCATCTATTAGGCTGGCGTAGATGTAACCTGTGTTACATTGTTTCCTGCCTGGGATGATGAATGCTATTTCTCCTTGACTCTACTCATAGAATTTTGCTTATGCCTCCTTGATAATGGCTATGCAACTCTTCCTGTTATCTCCATATGAGGGTACAGCTCTAAAACTCAGTTTAATGGTTCTGAGGCCGGCTGGTAGTAAGGTTTCCCGAACTCTGTGGTAGTTCTCAGAGAGGCTGATTCCATCAACAGCTGCAAAATATCAGAGTATTAACAGTGCCATGTTGCGCATGGATGGTGTCCCTGTTAATGCTTTTGGTGTGCATTGTCAAGGTCACATAAGGAGCCCTATGTCACGGCTTAGGGTTAATTAACAGGACTGAGACAACTGAATAGCTCATTGACTAGAAGGCTGTGCTCTATCTATGAATGAGTCAAGTTCTCATCAAACCCTAATCATGACCAAAGTAGCAAAAAATTTAAAACCTAAAAAACCATTCCCACTACCTAAATATTTTAATATATCTTTTACAAATATTCGCGGTCTACGAAGCAACTTTCCATCAGTTGAGTCTTACCTCCTGCAAAATTCACCAGACTTGCTTGCACTTAGTGAAACAAAATTAAATTCTGCAATTCCTTCTTCAGATGTCAGTGTTGATGGGTACTATCCTTTGATTCGTAAAGACTCTAATAGTCACATGCTAGGTTTAGGGGTATACATACGCATTAATTCCCCTATTAGTCGTGAAATCAGGTTCGAATCCTTTGAACATTCTTTTATGTGCTTTCGCCTAGCACCTCTTCACTCTATCACCTTTCTCTTTGTTCTTTATCGTTTTCCTTCTTCCCATGATTGCACTCTCTTAGATGTTATCTATGATCAAATTGACCATGCCCTCTCTCTTTACCCCTCTGCCAATATTGTTGTTGGTGGTGATTTTAATGCCCATCACACTGAATGGCTTGGCTCTAACACCACTGATCCTGCTGGCACTAAAGCCTTTTACTTCTGCGTTTCTCAATCTCTTACTCTGATAGTTAACTTTGTGACTCGTTTTCCTGACAACTCTAATCATTTACCTTCACTCCTTGACTTATGTCTTGTCTCTGACCCTAGCTTATGTTCAGTTTCTCCCTTTTCTCCTTTAGGTGGTTCTGACCATGCAATGATCTCTATAAATCTTTCTTCTCGTACTTCTTTTTTGGGCTCACCTTATCATCGCACCACCTACTACTACCCTAAAGCTGACTGGGATTCCTTTCGTGATTTTCTTCGTGATGGTCCTTGGGATGATGTTTTTTCTCTCTCAGCTGACAAATGCGCCTCCTACGTAACCTCCTGGATTCAGGCTGGAATGGAAGCTTTTATTCCTTCGCGTCGGTTTCAAGTCAAGCCTCATTCTACTCCATGGTTTTCTCCTTCTTGTCTGGCTGCTATATCTAATCGTAATCATTTTTTTCATCTTTTTCAAAAGAACTACTCTCTTGAGAACAAACGGCTATTTATTATTGCAAGAAATCGATGTAAAAAGGTGCTTTCTGATGCTAAACTCCATTATTCTCAGTTCACTAAATCTCGCATCTTATCACAGAAGTTAGGCTCTAAAGACTTTTGGAAAATCTTCAACAGCATTATTAACAAGGGTAGATCTAATATTCCATCTCTCATTCATGGGACTGATCTTATTACCTCTCCCAAGGATAAGGTAGAACTATTTGCAAAGAACTTTTCTTCTAATTCCACTCTTGAATCTTATGGACATTCTCTTCCTTCCATTCCAGTCAAACAGGTTGACCCATTGTTAGACATTAAAATCACTCTGGCTTCTGTTGCTAAAGTCATATCTCAATTAAACTCGTCTACAGCTTGTGGTTCAGACAACATTCCTGTCAAAGTCTTGCAGAATTGTTCTCCAGAACTTTTTTCAATTCTCTCTAAACTATTTAACAAGTGTTTGACTGGGTCTTGTTTTCCTGCTTGTTGGAAAATGGCATCTGTAGTTCCAATATTCAAAAACTCTGGAGAAAATTCTGACCCCTACAATTATCGTCCGATCAGTCTTCTTTCTGTTATTAGCAAGGTCTTTGAGTCTTAGATCAACAAATTCCTCACATCTCATCTTAAGTCAAATAAATTACTGTCAGACAATCAATACTGTTTTCGATCCTCTCGCTCTACGGCCGACTTGCTAACTGCTGTAACTGAAAGATTTTATTGTGCATTAGATGGAGGCGGTGATGCTAGGACTATTGTTCTCGACATATCTAAAGCTTTCGACAAAGTTTGGCATGCTGATCATCTCCATAAGCTTGCTTCATATGGTATTTCTAGGAAAGTTTTTGAGATTATCAAATCATTTCTTTCTAACCGATTTATTAAAGCCATCCTTGAACGCCAACACTCTTCTTTATATCCAGTAACTTCTGGGGTTCCCCAAGGCTCCATCCTAGGCCCTGTTTTGTTTCTTATCTACATAAACAATCTTCCTGACAACCTTTCATCTAAAGTAGCTCTTATTGCTGATGACTCAACTTTATACTCCTGTCTTGACAAAAAGTCTTCTCTTTTTGATCGCCTAGAACAAGCGGCTGATCTTGAATCCGATCTAACTTCAGTAATAGATTGGGGTTCCCAGTGGTTTGTGAATTTCAACTCTAAAAAAACCCAATTGCTTACTGCAAACAATTACCGTAATATGGTCAACATTCCTATATTAATGAATGGCAATCCTCTTACTGAGTCGTCCTCTTTACGTCTTCTTGGATTATCGCTTACTACTGACCTTTCATGGAAACCATATATACAATCGATTGCAAAATTAGCTTCTACTAAGGTTGCTTCTCTTTATCCTGCTCGCCATTTCCTTACTTCTGACTCCATTCTCTACCTCTACAAATCTCTTATTCGTCCCTGTATCGAATACTGTTGTTATATTTGGGCTGGTTCTTCTAACGATTCACTTTCTCTTCTAGACAAGGTCCAAAATCGCATTGTAAATGTTGTTGGACCTGGACTTTCTGCTAAGCTTGAACCTCTTTCCCATCGTCGTAAAGTTGCATCTCTTTCTCTTTTCTACAAATACTATCATGGTCACTGCTCAAAGGAGTTATCATCTCTAGTTCCATCAACTAAAATTCATTCTCGTTTTACTCGTCATTCAGCTAAGTCTCATTCGTTTACTGTATCTGTCCCTGCATGCTCTAAAAACTTTTATTCATGTAGTTTTTTTCCCCGCACTTCAATCCTTTGGAACTCTCTCCCATCTTCATGTTTTCCTGACTCATACAACCTTCTACTTTTCAAGTCTTCTGTCAACCGTTTCCTTGCTCAATAACTCTGTTCTTTTTTTCCTAGTAACTCCCAACTTAATAGTGGTTGCTTGCAGCCTTGTTGGAAGTGAATGCAAATAAAAAAAAAATAAAATAAAAAATAATCTTAAAAATAAATTAAAAACACGAAATTATTTCAGTATTTTAGTTGATGCATCAACAGATGTTTCTGTAATTGAAAAAGAAGCTATTTTTATTATTAGTTTTGATCCAACTCCTATAGGAAAGACCGAAATAAGCGTTGAATGTTCTTTCCTTTCTATTTTTGATCTTGAATATGGAACATCTGAAGGAGTTTTCAATAAAATCAGTCAATCCCTTGATTCAGAATGTACCAAAAATTATAAAACTAAATTAGTTGGTTTCGGTGCTGATGGCGCATCTGTAAATAGAGGAAATAGGACAAGTGTCAATGTATTGCTTAAGAAGGAAATTCCATGGATAACTTTCGGTTGCTGTGTTGCACATCGCCTTGAGTTAGCGTTAAAAGATAAATTTGGAGAAATAAAGGCGTTTAATGATGTCGATAACATCATTTTGAAAATGTATGCAATTTATAAAAAATCGCCCAAAAAGTTACGACAGTTAAGAGAGCTTGTTGCTATTCTTGAAGAGGGTAATGCATTTGATATTGCAGGTATTCGCCCCAAAAAAGCATTAGTTATATTGGATTTCATTTTAATTTTTTCTATAAAAAAGGCTTTATAAAGTAATACTTCATTACATGCTCGTCTTTTTAAACAACAAAAGTTATTTATAAAAAAGTATTTCGATCAATAAAAAAATTGAATTCGGTATAATATTATGCAATAAAAACTTTTTATAAAAGTATAAGTTATTTGTTTAATAATAAATAGGAAAACGATGGATTGCACATAAAATTCAAGCACTTGAGATGCTCTTAGACAAATATGGAGTATATATGAAATATCTCGAAAACATGGCTGCAGATTTCAGTTTTACCCAAGCAGAAAGAGCAAAGTTTAAAGGGTACTATCAAAACTGGAATCATGGACGAATACCTCTTTATATAGCATTATTTATAGAAATTTTATCGACAGCTAAATTGTTATCTTTATCTTTTCAAAGCAACGAAATTGATTCAGTAGCATCTTCTGGATTTGTTGAACAAACTAAAAAGCAGTTAAGTCGTTTGCAGAAAAAAGAGTTTAATGATTTACCAACAGTCAAACGTTTCCTATCAAAAGTAACAAATAGTAATGGAAAGTATTTATTTCAGGATGTCGAGCTTCATGATTTTACAAACGCACTAACTCTAGTTAAGAATTCGAAATCAATGATTGTAGTGTTAATTACCAAATCCATAGAAGACCGTTTGGAAGCACAAAATACAGTTCCTGATATGTACGGAATGTTATTACTAAACACTGGCGGTTGGTATCAAAATAACACAAATAATTCATTTGCAGATGATAACATCAAAAAATTGTATGACTTTTATAATATGCCGTTACGTTATGCTAGCTTCACTGGGAATGTGAACAATATGTTAGATGCTTGGCATAGTTTAGTTGATTATACTGTCAAATATTTGGCACCAGATAAAACCAGATAAAAAGTACCGTAAAGTATGGTATCAAATTTTTTCAAGTATTATGAAAAAAGAGTGTAGTCCAGTTCTTCTTCTTGTTGAATTGTTGTTTGTATTGCCTGTTTCAAATGGAAAAGTTGAGCGTCTTTTTTCTCTTATGAATAGAATTTCTGACACAAGAAATCGATTAACCGAAAAACGGCATAATAATTTAATTCGGATATGCACAGATGAAACAAACAGTGACGAATTTGATGTAAATCCTGCCATTGAGTTACGGGCCGAAGATGCGTTGCGAAGGCCTACACAAGAAAACACAAAAACTTATTCAAAAAAAGGAAAGAAAAAAACTATAAAAACATTAGTTAATTTGGAATCGTCATCAGACGAAACCTTAGATTTAAAATCGTCTTCCGAAGAAACTTTAGATTATGAATCAGGCAAAATGTATCTTTAAAAATATATTTTTAAGTAACAAAAAATGGTATGAAAAGAAACATGCATTCGTTAATTTTAAATCAAGTCTTTATTTTATTTACATGTCATGAAGAATAATTACTAAAATAAAAACTTTAACAAAGAAAAAAAAATTTGACCGCTCAAAAAAAAAATTTGACCGTCAGTTTTATGTATTAGCCGGTTAATTTGACCGCTCGCCTTTGATTTCTTATTTTCCACGCTGAATATATATATATATATATATATATATATATATATATATATATATATATATATATATATATATATATATATATATATATATATATATATATATATATATATATATATATATATATATATATATATATATACTGTACTGTCAAAATACTGTCTTTTTTTTAACTAAATTCATTTTAAAGGTCGAGGGAGAAAATACAGTCGAGTTAAAATAAATTTGAAATAAAAGTAAAAAAGAAGCACAAGTTTACAAGTTACTGAACTTTATTACATTGCGAGTAACTAGAGTTTTAAATGTAATAGATATCCTAAATGCTTCATGAGAAATTGACTCTACGGGTATAATTTAAAGCAAAATTTGAAATGACCTCGTTGTAGCACAGTTTTTTTGCAAGATCGTATTTAATAGATATAACTAAGAAATTGGTAAGCCGGTCTTGACTTATTGTAGATCTTAATGTTGTCTAGACTAAGCTTACTGAAAGATCTCTCATTCGGCAATGGAAACAATAATCGTGTTAAAAATACGTAACAAAATGCCTATTGATTCGAAGATAGACTCTAGACCTTTTTAATAGATTTCATTTAACAACTTCATTGAAGTGAGATATTCTTTTAGACTGAAAAGCTTGGTGTGCTTCAGAATATCCTGATGATGGACTTCTAAAATTAGTTTGTCTTCATCTACATTGTTCAAATAGATTTGCGCCAAAGTTTTACATTTCTCCTCCAGGCTAGGTGGTTCAATTCCGAGAACCATAGGAAGGAGAAACTGTTTGTCATATTTTCTGCAGCTCAAAATCTGTCTCTTATTTGTTTGATTAAATTATCGAGAGCGGTGTTCTTCAGCCGTTTTTCATAACACCTTAAGGTAAAAGAAATCAAAATCAACTTTTTTAGAAAATAAGCTTATTTAGGTGCCTGCAAAGGTTATTGAATAATTGTTTTTAAAGAACTTTGAAAAAGTTCATACAAATTATAATTTCAAAACAACGTTTTACAAAAACTTTCTTGTATTATTATTTTTAACTGCGTTTTTCTCGAAATACGTAAAAAGCATCTAAAGGTGTTTTGAAAAACGGGTACAGTGTTAAATACGTTCACCTCAAACTACTTTTCATTGTTTTCGTAGAAATGAACTTCATTCCTTGCTTTTTTGTAAAAGGTTTTCCTCTTTCTTTTCCTTTTTTGAACTAACTTTGACTAAAACCCACAACTAGCTAAACCGGAGGTAACCAAATGTGCTTCATTAATTAATTCGGGCCAAGAATATCTAAATTCATTAGATCCTTAATAGGAACTCTCATAAGCTTCATCTCTTCATCTAAAGTAATGTATCCTGATTGAAATGACACAATTGCTTGGCGCGCTTTGAACCAGAAGGTTGTCATGATAATAAACTTAAATGAATAAATCCATTTCTCCAAAGACCTTACGTCATTCAATAGATCAGCAGTTAAATCAAGTTCCTGAAGTTTCTGCAAAGTAAAAATAGTTTCTCTAAGTTGCTTAACCAACGGTTTCAAAGTCTCAATCCGTGCACTCAATCGGGTTTGTAAGGTTTAATTAAGAGACAAACCAGTTGTCTTGGTCAATATTTGACATTGTATAGGGCTTCCACTAAAAAGATTGTAGAGTAACCGATTCCGGCCAAAATAGTTCTTTATTTCTACAGAAGATTCAAGGGAATGAACACCAACTAGGTTAAGGTTATGAGCGCTGCATAGCATGTAGAAAGCTTAAGGATTTTTCTGAAGGATGATCGCTTTTACTCCTTTGTACACACCAGACATGTTGGCATTGTTGTTGTACTCTTGACCTCAATAGTTCTTCAGATTAATGTTATTTTGATCCTAGAAATCTATAATTATCTTGGCAATATCCACAACTTTCTTTTGTTTAAGATTTTCGACCTTTATAAAGCGCTCCTTAACTACCTGTTTTTTATCAATACCATTGTAGACAAAGCGAAGAACAAATGCAATTTGCTCAGTATAAGAGACGTCAGGCGTTCCGTTGACAAGAATAAAATAGTAAACTACTATATGCGCATTTTTAATGAATGCACCGTGGACGATTCTTCCGCACTTTTTTATAAATTCATTTTGGGAACTCCAAACCAAAAAATGCACAATAATTTGTTTACCTTCGTGTTGACACTAGGAAACTTCTTTCTGATGTAACTAAAGGGTCTTGTTATGCTTTGCGAGTAGCTCTAGATTTATATATATATATATACATTTTGATTATATATGTTCTTTTTTAACCTACCAGCCCTTGAAAGTATTTTCCCGCAACGGTTTTGGCTAGTGTCAGACTCCCGAACATGAATTCGGCTAATGCTGTATTGTTAAGTAAACAATTCATTTTTAAATTACAAGTTTAAAGAGTTTTTCATTAAAACCCTGTGTATCTATTTTATAATTAAAAAAAAAGTTTTTATTTGTGCGCCCCTTCTGATCCTGCGCCCAGGTAAAAAGTACCCAGTGACCTGATAACTCCGAACTGTTTGTACTGTTGCATTAATATATATATATATATATATATATATATATATATATATATATATATATATATATATATATATATATAATATATATATATATATATATATATATATATATATATATATATATATATATATATATATATATATATATATATATATATATATATATATATATATATAAATATATATATATATATATATATATATATATATACATATATATATATATATATATATATATATATATATATATATATATATATATATATATATATATATATATATATATATATATATATATATATATATATATATATATAACTAACATAAAACGAACGAAACAGCAAAAGTTAAACCCAACGCTTGCTATTTTCACAATTCTTTTTATCATTATCATAGTATTTTAAAACAAAAGAGTGTGTGATGCTATTTTATTTTTTGGTCAGAGTTGGCATTTTTGATTGAAATCGAGCAACATCAAGCAGTTTTTTTTCCCAAAATGATTTGTTTTAGAAAATAAACATGTTAGCTAAAATTTTAAACAGCAAAGCTATAAAAAACTTTTATTTTGCATGGTATTTTCTTAACAAAAAGGAAAATACGGTTAGTGGTGCTATTTTATTTTTCGCAACTGTATATATATATATATATATATATATATATATATATATATATATATATATATATATATATATATATATATATATATATAGTATATATATATATATATATATATATATATATATATACATATATATATATATATATATATATATATATATATATATATATATATATATATATATATATATATATATATATATATATATATATATATATACAGTTGCGAAAAATAAAATAGCACCACTAACCGTATTTTCCTTTTTGTTAAGAAAATACCATGCAAAAAAAAAGTTTTTTATAGCTTTGCTGTTTAAAATTTTAGCTTGCATGTTTATTTTCTAAAACAAATCATTTTGGGAAAAAAAACTGCTTGATGTTGCTCGATTTCAATCAAAAATGCCAACTCTGACCAAAAAATAAAATAGCATCACACACTCTTTTGTTTTAAAATACTCTTATAATGATAAAAAGAATTGTGAAAATAGCAAGCGTTGGGTTTAATTTTTGCTGTTTCGTTCGTTTTATGTTAGTGCGTATAAGTAGGAGACATTTTTATATAATAATGGGACACGGAAAACATTCTAGTGCAGAAAAATGAGAACTGATCCGAAAGTTGATATCAGCAAGGAAGTCTTATAGAGAAGTTGGTCGTTTAGTTGAGTGTTCCTATAAAATGATAAGAAATGCCATAAAATTTCAAGAAAAGCCTGAAACATTTCAACATTGATGGCCAATCGCTTAGTCCGACAGGCTAAAAAGGAACCTTTTAAAACAGCTACCGAGCTGAAAAAGGTCTTTAACATTAATGCAACAGTACAAACAGTTCGGAGTTGTCAGGTCACTGGGTACTTTTTACCTGGGAGCAGGATCAGAAGGGGCGCACAAATAAAAAACTTTTTTTTTAATTATAAAATAGATACACAGGGCTTTAATGAAAAACTCTTTAAACTTGTAATTTAAAAATGAATTGTTTACTCAACAATACAGCATTAGCCGAATTCATATTCGGGAGTCTGACACTAGCTAAAACCGTTGCAGGAACATACTTTCAATTTTGATTAAAATCGAGTAAAATATAAAAAGCGACAAATTATTGTACGCAAGCGCAGTTAGGTTAAAAAAAATTTTATAGTTTTAAAATGGCTACGGACCTTCGCTACAAAGTTAATTTTTAGATGAATACTAATTTTTCTTAACTCGTGGCGTTTTTTAG